ACATGTTTGAAGAGCTGCTGAATTATGCAGTCCTGAGAGATGTTTAGAATCAGAAGCACTTTTGATCCCAACAGATGGATTCTTCCACTTCTCACGTCTGCACTGCTGATACCTAAAACCCCTCTAGATTGTAATGAGCTCGCCCACTTTAGAAAATGAGAAGTTCATATCATGAAATCAGATACGTTTCTTTCATAGGTACAGAAACAGTGTCTTTTTGAATGATTGCATGTTTCTTTCAGCAAAAACTTACAATACATGTTGGAATCTCTCTTTGAAAAGAGCTTATGTGCCAAAATGTTTTACTTAATTTTTACAATGCTGAACAGCTAGCATGGCTTGAGGCAAGATGATGTATGACACTAGTCGTGATGCCTGAGCTAGTATGGCTTGAGGCAAGATGATGTATGACACTAGTCATGTTGCCTGAGCTAGCATGGCTTGAGGCAAGATGATGTATGACACTAGTCGTGTTGCCTGAGCTAGCATGGCTTGAGGCAAGATGATGTATGACACTAGTCATGTTGCCTAAGCTAGCATGGCTTGAGGCAGGATGATGTATGACACTAGTCATGTTGCCTGAGCTAGTATGGCTTGAGGCAAGATGATGTATGACACTAGTCATGTTGCCTGAGCTAGTATGGCTTGAGGAAAGATGATGTATAACACTAGTCATGTTGCCTGAGCTAGAATGGCTTGAGGCAAGATGATGTATGACACTAGTCACGTTGCCTGAGCTAGCATGGCTTGAGGCAGGATGATGTATGACACTAGTCATGTTGCCTGAGCTAGTATGGCTTGAGGCAAGATGATGTATGACACTAGTCGTGTTGCCTGAGCTAGTATGTCTTGATGCAAGATGATGTATGACACTAGTCATGTTGCCTGAGCTAGTATGGCTTGAGGCAAGATGATGTATGACACTAGTCACGTTGCCTGAGATAGTATGGCTTGAGGCAAGAAGATGTATGACACTAGTCATGTTGCCTGAGCTAGTATGGCTTGAGGAAAGATGATGTATGATTGCCTGACTAGCAGTCTTGAGGCAGGATGATGTATGACACTAGTCATGTTGCCTGAGCTAGCATGGCTTGAGGCAAGATGATGTATGACACTAGTCATGTTGCCTGAGCTAGTATGGCTTGAGGCAGGATGATGTATGACACTAGTCATGTTGCCTGAGCTAGCATGGCTTGAGGCAGGATGATGTATGACACTAGTCATGTTGCCTGAGCTAGTATGGCTTGAGGCAGGATGATGTATGACACTAGTCATGCCTGCCTGAGCTTGAGGCAGGATGATGGTATGGCTTGAGGCAGGATGATGTATAACACTAGTCGTAATGCCTGAGCTAGTATGGCTTTGAGGCAGGATGATGTATGACACTAGTCGTAATGCCTGAGCTAGTATGGCTTGAGGCAGGATGATGTATGACACTAGTCGCGGTTGCCTGAGCTAGCATGGCTTGAGGCAGGATGATGTATGACACTATGTTGCCTCGCATGGCTTGAGGCAAGATGATGTATGCCTGTTGCCTGAGCTAGTATGGCTTGAGGCAGGATGATGTATGACACTCAGTCGATGTAGTCATGCCTGAGACACTAGTCATGAGCTAGTATGGCTTGAGGCAAGATGATGTATGACACTAGTAGCATGGCAGGCAAGATGATGTATGACACTAGTCATGTTGCCTGAGCTAGTATGGCTTGAGGAAAGATGATGTATGACACTAGTCAGATAGTGACACTAGGCTTGATGCAGAGAGGATGTATGACTAGTCATGTTGCCTGAGCTATGGCTTTGAGGCAAGATGATGTATGACACTAGTCATGTAGTGCCATGGTTCGACACTAGTCATGTTGCCTGAGCTAGTATGGCTTGAGGCAAGATGATGTATGACACTAGTCACGTTGCCTGAGCTAGTATGGCTTGAGGCAAGATGATGTATGACACTAGTCATGTTGCCTGAGCTAGCATGGCTTGAGGCAGGATGATGTATGACACTAGTCATGTTGCCTGAGCTAGTATGGCTTGAGGAAAGATGATGTATGACACTAGTCATGTTGCCTGAGCTAGCATGGCTTGAGGCAGGATGATGTATGACACTAGTCATGTGCCTGCCTTGAGGCTAGTATGGCTTGAGGAAAGATGATGTATGACACTAGTCATGTTGCCTGAGCTAGCATGGCTTGAGGAGGATGATGATGATGTATGACACTAGTCACGCTGCTAGTATGGCTTGAGCAAGATGATGTAGACACTAATGGCCTTGAGGCAAGATGATGTATGACACTAGTCACGCTGCCTCGAGCTAGTATGGCTTGAGCAAGATGATGTATGACACTAGGCTTAGAGGCTTGAGGGATGATGTATGACACTAGTCACGCTGTTCGAGCTAGTATGGCTTGAGGCAAGATGATGTATGACACAAGTCGTGATGCCTGTATGAGTCACTAGAGCTAGTATGGCTTGAGGCAGGATGATGTATGACACTAGTCGTGATGCCTGAGCTAGTATGGCTTGAGGCAGGATGATGTTTGACACTAGTCATGTTGCCTGAGCAGGATGATGTTTGACACTAGTATGGCTTGAGGCAAGATGATGTATGACACTAGTCATGTTGCCTGAGCTAGTATGGCTTGAGGAAAGATGATGTATGACACTAGTCGTGTTGCCTGAGCTAGTATGGCTTGAGGCAGGATGATGTATGACACTAGTCATGTTGCCTGAGCTAGCATGGCTTGAGGCAGGATGATGTATGACACTAGTCATGTTGCCTGAGCTAGCATGGATTGAGGCAGGATGATGTATGACACTAGTCACGTTGCCTGAGCTAGTATGGCTTGAGGCAGGATGATGTATGACACTAGTCGTGTTGCCTGAGCTAGTATGGCTTGAGGCAGGATGATGTATGACACTAGTCGTGATGCCTGAGCTAGCATGGCTTGAGGCAGGATGATGTATGACACTAGTCATGTTGCCTGAGCTAGTATGGCTTGAGGCAGGATGATGTATGACACTAGTCGTGATGCCTGAGCTAGTATGGCTTGAGGCAGGATGATGTATGACACTAGTCGTGATGCCTGAGCTGGTATGGCTTGAGGCAGGATGATGTATGACACTAGTCGTGATGCCTGAGCTAGTATGGCTTGAGGCAGGATGATGTATGACACTAGTCATGTTGCCTGAGCTAGTATGGCTTGAGGCAAGATGATGTATGACACTAGTCACGTTGCCTGAGCTAGTATGGCTTGATGCAAGATGATGTATGACACTAGTCGTGATGCCTGAACTAGTATGGCTTTAGGCAGGATGATGTATGACACTAGTCGTGATGCCTGAGCTAGTATGGCTTGAGGCAAGATGATGTATGACACTAGTCACGTTGCCTGAGCTAGTATGGCTTGAGGCAAGATGATGTATGACACTAGTCGTGTTGCCTGAGCTAGTATGGCTTGAGGAAAGATGATGTATGACACTAGTCGTGTTGCCTGAGCTAGTATGACTTGAGGCAAGATGATGTATGACACTAGTCATGTTGGCTGAGCTAGTATGGCTTGAGGCAGGATGATGTATGACACTAGTCATGTTGCCTGAGCTAGCATGGCTTGAGGCAGGATGATGTATGACACTAGTCATGTTGCCTGAGCTAGCATGGCTTGAGGCAGGATGATGTATGACACTAGTCGTGATGCCTGAGCTAGTATGGCTTGAGGCAAGATGATGTATGACACTAGTCATGTTGCCTGAGCTAGCATGGCTTGAGGCAGGATGATGTATGACACTAGTCATGTTGCCTGAGCTAGTATGGCTTGAGGAAAGATGATGTATGACACTAGTCATGATGCCTGAGCTAGTATGGCTTGAGGCAGAATGGATGTATGACATATTATCATACTTCATTTTTATTTATTTATATATACTTACATAGCGCCAATATCCAGATCACCAGCTCAAAGGCACTTTGTTTTTCCCTCGATCATTGGATGTCAGTCTCAAACGGCACAATGTATAATCAATCTCAACTCCCTGGGGATCATACAACCCATTCACAGCTGGGTGGACTGGGACACATGGTCACAGTATTTTGTCCAAGTTTACTGCATGTTGCTGTACCCGCAACTAGGTGTTTGCACGTATTCATGTGGCTACCATCTGGTCATATATCAACGGATTCGTGGGTTCTTTGAAGTGCACAGTGTTGTGTACTGTACACTAGGGGTTGTGACAACACTGAGCGAGTCTGCACGCAAAGTTGACTCCCAAGGTTTTGACACCCAGTCACAGGTGGGCTCGATCCCGTCACTTCAAGCTCACGGGATCACTAGCCTGGCACCTTAGCCAGCTCACCCACCATGCCCCCAATGCCAATATTATCATACCTTCCTAGTTTTCTGGCTTTTGGTTTTCAACAAAGATATGCTCTGCTACATTCATATTGATTTCGGTATCGGGTAGAACACCAGAAGTGTACACAGTCTCAAGTCCATGGAACATTGTCTTCCTGCTTGTATGATGCAACTGATGGAGGGAAGGGAAGGGAGCAGTTGTTGATGATGTGTAGGTTAGTTGTCATACAAATACTGTTGTGATGTTTGTGTCATGTACATGTGGGTCTGTTATGTGCAGTCCTGTTCCAGTTATGTGCAGTCCTGTTCCAGTTATGTTGTATGATGTACGTCTGTGAAGCATGAAGGCTCTATTAGATCTCTTTAGATCCGAGTTCAAGTTACTTTGTTCGAACAGATAAAGTCAATGCTGAACATGTTTTGAAAAATCAATCCTTCCAAGTGAATAGCTCGTCTTATGTCTTTTCAAAGATCATGTCCTCCATGTGAAGCTCCATCCTACTTGGAGATGTCCCTCACATTTTGATGAATTAAAATATTTCTTTATTTCCTGACAAGATCAAAACAGTTCTTTTGTTGCTGATCACTCTGATGGCAATATTAGTTTGAAATCTATTTAATCTTCTTCATTTTCAATGTTGTTTATTTCAGGACTACCCCAGGGTTCCAAGCCCCCTCCCCTGAACATGCTAAGTCCGTCGGGTAGCAAGGTAGCACGCAACACTGCCACAGTGCCCCCACTCAACCAGGTGTCACCCAACAATGGACTCAACTCTGTCAGTGGCGATGCTGCCCTCAGTGCCACAAGAACATCCAGTTTTGCTGCAGCTCTCCGGAAACTTGCTCACCAAGCTAAGGACCCAGGTAATGCAAGATATCTCTTCTTCCTGGTGCCTTGTCAGGGTTGCAGGCAAATGAAAGAACAAATACACCCAGGGTTAGGCCAGTTAGTGTCTCTCTTGTATGTAACGGGTCTCCCTGACCAAGATTATGCCCCCTAGTATTGTGGAAGTACTTAAATCAGAGCATCTTCCTAGTCTGGAGGATGGACCCCTGTGTAGGGATGTACCCTAATACTGACCCAGTACATATCTCCTTGTGTCTTGCTAGTATGGTGGATGGACCCCTGTGTAGGGATGTACCCTAATACTGACCCAGTACATATCTCCTTGTGTCTTGCTAGTATGGTGGAGGTACCCTTACTAAGAACATGTCTGCCTAGTAGGCTGGAGGTACCCTTAACCAGTACATGTCTCCCCTGTATGTTTGAGGTACCCTAACCCAGTACATGTATTCCTGTATACTGGAGGTACCCTAACCCAGTACATGTCTCCCCTGTATGTTGGAGGTACCCTAACCCAGTATATGTCTCCCTGTATGCTGGAGGTACCCTAACCCAGCACATGTCTCCCTGTATACTTGAGGTACCCTAACCTAGTATATGTCTCCCTGTATGCTGGAGGTACCCTAACCCAGCACATGTCTCCCTGTATACTTGAGGTACCCTAACCTAGTATATGTCTCCCTGTATGCTGGAGGTACCCTAACCCAGCACATGTCTCCCTGTATACTTGAGGTACCCTAACCTAGTATATGTCTCCCTGTATGCTGGAGGTACCCTAACCCAGTATATGTCTCCCTGTATGCTGGAGGTACCCTAACCCAGCACATGTCTCCCTGTATACTTGAGGTACCCTAACCTAGTATATGTCTCCCTGTATGCTGGAGGTACCCTAACCCAGCACATGCCTCCCTGTATACTTGAGGTACCCTAACCTAGTATATGTCTCCCTGTATGCTGGAGGTACCCTAACCCAGTACATGTCTCCCTGTATACTTGAGGTACCCTAACCTAGTATATGTCTCCCTGTATGCTGGAGGTACCCTAACCCAGCACATGTCTCCCTGTATACTTGAGGTACCCTAACCCAGTATATGTCTTCCTGTATACTGGAGGTACCCTAACCCAGTACATGTCTCCCTGTATGCTGGAGGTACCCTAACCCAGCACGTCTCCCCTGTATGTTGGAGGTACCCTAACCCAGTATATGTCTCCCTGTATGTTGGAGGTACCCTAACCCAGTATATGTCTCCCTGTATGCTGGAGGTACCCTAACCCAGCACATGTCTCTCTGTATGCTGGAGGTACCCTAACCCAATATATGTCTCCCTGTATACTTGAGGTACCCTAACCAGTATATGTCTCCCTGTATGCTGGAGGTACCCTAACCAGTATATGTCTCCCTGTATACAGGTACCCTAACCCAGTACATGTCTCCCTGTATGCTGGAGGTACCCTAACCCAGCACATGTCTCCCCTGTATGTTGGAGGTACCCTAACCCAGTATATGTCTCCCTGTATGTTGGAGGTACCCTAACCCAGTATATGTCTCCCTGTATGCTGGAGGTACCCTAACCCAGCACATGTCTCCCTGTATGCTGGAGGTACCCTAACCCAATATATGTCTCCCTGTATACTTGAGGTACCCTAACCAGTATATGTCTCCCTGTATGCTGGAGGTACCCTAACCAGTATATGTCTCCCTGTATACAGGTACCCTAACCCAGTACATGTCTCCCTGTATGCTGGAGGTACCCTAACCCAGTACATGTATCCCTGTATACTTGAGGTACCCTAACCTAGTATATGTCTCCCTGTATAATGGTGGTACCCTAACCCAGTACATGTCTCCCTGTATGCTGGAGGTACCCTAACCCAGTACATGTCTCCCTGTATAATGGTGGTACCCTAACCCAGTACATGTCTCTCTAGTACTGTGAGAAATATCCCTCTAGGTATGAGGAATCACTGATTGTTGTGTTGGAGAATAATGGTTCTGAATTTTCAGTGATGATCAGTGATTTGCCAGCCATTGAACTGTGACTGTGTTAATGTTTTGCTTGTTATTCAAGCCTGGGTATTTGTGTGACCAGCCACCCTGATTCCCTGATGTAGTGTGTTAGTGCACCTTCATACTTTTGTTTCCTGGCCCTGATTTCTCGAAACAAACTTAAGTCTGAGTTTTGACTTAAGTTCGAGTTTTTACTCAAATTTGAGAAAATGCAGGAAAATGCATTCCACAGAATGAACTGAAATTGGCATTAAACTCAAACTATAGAAGACAATTTGAGTGTGGTGGATAGATTACTTAAGTTGTTTGGGCTTTTATATTTTGAAAATGCAGTTGAGTTAAAAATTCAGCTGTTTCAAATTATGAAACTCAGTTTGATATTTGAGTAAAAACTTAAGTTTGTTTCAAGAAATCCGGGCCTGATCCTCCAACTAGTCAGTGATCCTTCTTCCCAACAAGAAAGTGATGAGTCTTTCTGTACTTTCTTGATGGAACAGAAGTTAATGTTTCTACTTGTCAAAAGTTTAAACATTCAAACATATTTTGTTGTACTTTATCTTTCTCCTGACATTTAATTCAGTTTCATTATTGATTATTTTGAAAGGTTAAACTTCAACAGAACAATCGAAAATTTGAAATATTATAATTTTTTCTTTGATTTACCTTTTTAGTGAGAAGATATGAGTTCCAGTAGAAAGTCCTGTAGCTGTATATGTTGGTGTATTTGTTCCTTCAGGCATGTTGCTGATGCCCCTCTCTCACCTAGTGCAGTCTGTCACTTGTAGGATTAACTTCTTGCATCTTATGCATGCAATTCTCAATGTGTTATGTTTTCCATACACTGTTGGGAAAGTGTTGAAGCTGTCTTTCTGATTTAACCTGTTTAAACTGTTGGTAGAGGTGTAGGAATGCTGCCATTGCTTGTGTGTTGTTTAGTTTGTGTTGAATCCTTGGTTAATGGAAGCATGAGTTCTGTAACCTTACCGTGCACACAGGTCTCAGTTGTATTTCATCTTTCTTTCTCAATTTATTTGAGATGCACATCTTTTGAATTGCATGCATAAGGATGGTGAAAACTTTGTACTAATTATTTAGGGCTGAAGTGTAACCATGACTACATTGTTTGATTAGCATGATGTATCAGCCAGACATTGTTGTCTCACAGAATTCCCTCAACCCCTTCTGGCACGGCCGCTAGGGCATGGCTTCACCGTCGCCACCAACAACAACGGCAACAGCATTTGGTATTTTAGGGATCAGATCCAACTCTTTATATACAATGATGTTTTTCAGAATCACCTGCTGTGTTCTCAGGGCATCAGATGCTAGAGATGTACGAGTGGCTAGCACACAATCTTCAGGCAGTAGTATTTGAAGTCTAGTGAAAGTAGACTTTTCTTAGGTACCATCTCTGGTGATTGACGACATTTCTATCAGCTGATAACTGAGAACACAGTGACTTACATGTATAACATATTTGTTTTGGTGTGTATTCATATATTGTCATAGCCACCATTATTGTAAAACATAGCAAACTTGTATGTGAATGTCTGTGAGTGACTGTTTAAGTAAATATGTAACTGTTTTTGCCAGTTAATTATTAAATATATGATGAAAACAAGCTTATTGTGTCTATGTGATGTTCAACAACTGGGAGTGTAGTAATACTCGTGCGGATTACATCTATGTCTACATGTGTTGATTTCAGAGGACCCTTCCAGCATCAAGCACACCAGTCCTCCCAGTTCCAGCGTCAGTCCGCGTTCATCCACCCCGAAACGTGCGCCACCACCCCTTGTATACGCCTCACAGGCCCAATCCCTTACCTCTCCACCGGTGGTAACCATAGCACCCACCCAAGCACACCCATCTGTGCTGAATGATAGTCGGCAGGTGAGTCTGCCACCTTATCAAAGGGAGGTAACTCTACTGCTTTCAATGCTCCAGTTGATATTTTCACAGTATTGATTGCATCAGCCTGTGGTGGTTTTTGTGATACTTTACTACAGTAGGAAATCCAGTAAATATATTGTCATTCATAGGTTTGTTATTAAATGATAACAGAATGATAGGCGAAACTAACGGGTTTAGTTACCATATAGGACTGCATGGTATTACCAGTACATGTATATACCCCCACCTTGTATTATATTGCACCGTATCAGAGTTTGGTTACATGAATACAAGATATAGACCACACCATACCAGTATATTGCACCATGTCAGAGTTTAGTTACATGAATACAAGATATAGACCACACCATACCAGTTTATTGCACCATGTCAGAGTTTAGTTACATGGATACAAGATATAGACCACACCACACCAGTTTATTGCACCATGTCAGAGTTTAGTTACATGAATACAAGATATAGACCACACCATACCAGTATATTGTTCCATATCAGAGTTTAGTTACATGAATACAAGATATAGACCACACCATACCAGTTTATTGCACCATGTCAGAGTTTAGTTACATGGATACAAGATATAGACCACACCATACCACACCACAACACAACACAACACAACACAACACACTAATATATTGTTCCATATCACAGTTTAGTTACATGGTTACTAGATATATACCACACCACACCACACCACACCACACCACACCACACCACACCACACCACACCACACCACACCACACCACACCACACCACACTAATATATTGTTCCATATCACAGTTTAGTTACATGGTTACTAGATATATACCACACCACACCACACCACACTAATATGTTGCTCCATATCACAGTTTAGTTACATGGTTACTAGATATATACCACACCACACCACACCACACCACACCACACCACACCACACTAATATGTTGCTCCATATCACAGTTTAGTTACATGGTTACTAGATATATACCACACCACACCACACCACACCACACCACACCACACCACACCACACCACACCACACCACACCACACCACACCACACCATATACACCACACCACACCACACCACACCACACCACACCACACTAATATGTTGCTCCATATCACAGTTTAGTTACATGGTTACTAGATATATACCACACCACACCACACCACACCACACCACACCACACCACACCACACTAATATGTTGCTCCATATCACAGTTTAGTTACATGGTTACTAGATATATACCACACCACACTAATATATTGCTCCATATCACAGTTTAGTTACATGGATACAAGACTGCTTGGTATTACTGATACACACCACACCGCTTCTTAACTAAAGGGGAGGTGCAGTGCCCTAACCCTTACCCTGAATACAGCTTCTTTCTCTAAAGGGCAAGTGCAGTGCCAAGTGTGCAAGAGTCAGGGTTAGGGTTAACCACTTTAGCTCACAATGTATTGGATTATGAATCGCAGTGCTTGTAATTGTGTTGTGATATACTGAGCTACAGTATACAAATATACAGCTGTCAGTTAAACATGTTTCAGGGCCTGGAGCGAGTGTCGTCTGCTCATAGTACATCCTCCTCAATCTATGAGCCGCTCTCATTAAAACAGGAACGAGATCAGCGCCCTCTGTCTTCTCACTCTCGTGATGATGATCGCTCATCAATGAAGGATGGCCCTCATGCACAGACACCATCAAGAATGTATGTCTAACATTGAGAGTGTACTTATCTAACCACTACACAGACACCATCAAGAATGTATGTCTAACATTGAGAGTGTACTTATCTAACCACTACACAGACACCATCAAGAATGTATGTCTAACATTGAGAGTGTACTTATCTAACCACTACACAGACACCATCAAGAATGTATGTCTAACATTGAGAGTGTACTTATCTAACCACTCACACAGACACCATCAAGAATGTATGTCTAACATTGAGAGTGTACTTATCTAACCACTACACAGACACCATCAAGAATGTATGTCTAACATTGAGAGTGTACTTATCTAACCACTACACAGACACCATCAAGAATGTATGTCTAACATTGAGAGTGTACTTATCTAACCACTACACAGACACCATCAAGAATGTATGTCTAACATTGAGAGTGTACTTATCTAACCACTACACAGACACCATCAAGAATGTATGTCTAACATTGAGAGTGTACTTATCTAACCACTACACAGACACCATCAAGAATGTATGTCTAACATTGAGAGTGTACTTATCTAACCACTACACAGACACCATCGAGAATGTATGTCTAACATTGAGAGTGTACTTATCTAACCACTACACAGACACCATCGAGAATGTATGTCTAACATTGAGACTGTACTTATCTAACCACTACACAGACACCATCAAGAATGTATGTCTAACATTGAGAGTGTACTTATCTAACCACTACACAGACACCATCAAGAATGTATGTCTAACATTGAGAGTGTACTTATCTAACCACTACACAGACACCATCAAGAATGTATGTCTAACATTGAGAGTGTACTTATCTAACCACTACACAGACACCATCAAGAATGTATGTCTAACATTGAGGAGTGTACTTATCTAACATTGAGAGTGTACTTATCTAACCACTACACAGACACCATCAAGAATGTATGTCTAACATTGAGAGTGTACTTATCTAACCACTACACACAGACACCATCGAGAATGTATGTCTAACATTGAGAGTGTACTTATCTAACCACTAACCACACAGACACCATCGAGAATGTATGTCTAACATTGAGAGTGTACTTATCTAACCACTACACAGACACCATCGAGAATGTATGTCTAACATTGAGAGTGTACTTATCTAACCACTACACAGACACCATCGAGAATGTATGTCTAACATTGAGAGTGTACTTATCTAACCACTACACAGACACCATCAAGAATGTATGTCTAACATTGAGAGTGTACTTATCTAACCACTACACAGACACCATCAAGAATGTATGTCTAACATTGAGAGTGTACTTATCTAACCACTACACAGACACCATCAAGAATGTATGTCTAACATTGAGAGTGTACTTATCTAACCACTCACACAGACACCATCGAGAATGTATGTCTAACATTGAGAGTGTACTTATCTAACCACTACACAGACACCATCGAGAATGTATGTCTAACATTGAGAGTGTACTTATCTAACCACTACACAGACACCATCGAGAATGTATGTCTAACATTGAGAGTGTACTTATCTAACCACTACACAGACACCATCGAGAATGTATGTCTAACATTGAGAGTGTACTTATCTAACCACAACACAGACACCATCGAGAATGTATGTCTAACATTGAGAGTGTACTTATCTAACCACTACACAGACACCATCAAGAATGTATGTCTAACATTGAGAGTGTACTTATCTAACCACTACACAGACACCATCGAGAATGTATGTCTAACATTGAGAGTGTACTTATCTAACCACTACACAGACACCATCAAGAATGTATGTCTAACATTGAGAGTGTACTTATCTAACCACTACACAGACACCATCAAGAATGTATGTCTAACATTGAGAGTGTACTTATCTAACCACTACACAGACACCATCAAGAATGTATGTCTAACATTGAGAGTGTACTTATCTAACCACTACACAGACACCATCAAGAATGTATGTCTAACATTGAGAGTGTACTTATCTAACCACTACACAGACACCATCAAGAATGTATGTCTAACATTGAGAGTGTACTTATCTAACCACTACACACAGACACCATCGAGAATGTATGTCTAACATTGAGAGTGTACTTATCTAACCACTACACAGACACCATCAAGAATGTATGTCTAACATTGAGAGTGTACTTATCTAACCACTACACAGACACCATCGAGAATGTATGTCTAACATTGAGAGTGTACTTATCTAACCACTACACAGACACCATCGAGAATGTATGTCTAACATTGAGACTGTACTTATCTAACCACTACACAGACACCATCAAGAATGTATGTCTAACATTGAGAGTGTACTTATCTAACCACTACACAGACACCATCAAGAATGTATGTCTAACATTCACATTGAGAGTGTACTTATCTAACCACTACACTTGATATCCTGATGGTATAGAAAGTTCCTCACAATATCAATCTCTGACTTGTTTCATCTAGACACAGTTACATACAGGCGTACTGCATTCTGCCTTCTGCATGAATTTGTGTTGTACCAGGGTGGGATAGTTGTGACCGGATGGGTCAGTTGTGACAGGATGGGTCAGTTTTGACAGGGTGGGTCAGTTGTGACAGGGTGGGTCAGTTGTGACAGGATGGGTCAGTTTTATTGATAGGATGGGTCAGTTGTGACAGGGTGGGTCAGTTGTGACAGGATGGGTCAGTTTTATTGATAGGATGGGTCAGTTGTAACAGGAGGGTCAAATGTGACAAGGTGGCATTTAACTAAATGACAACCAAATTAAACATATCTGGAGGAGAAATCTATACATGAGGAGAAATCTATGGGCTGAATGTAGGTCTACCTTAAAGAACAGAGTGATTGAATATATGGATAAAAAGAAGACTGCCTTTCCTGTTCCAGTCTGACACCCCATTCCACCCCTGGTTCAAGAGAAGATGGCTTGGTCCGTGGGTTCCAGCCTTATCGTCCTGGGGATGAGATCAGACCACCTGTTCCCCTTCCATTTGGAATGGACCCAGCCACCTACCAGGCAGCATATCAACAGGCCTTCATGCAACCTCATCCATACACTCATCCGGCATACAGGTAGGAGTTGTCTCCCTTCCATGTTACATCCCACACTAGTGCTAGACCTTCATGCAACCAATCCATACTCTCATTCTGAAGACAGCCAGGAGTTGTCTCCCTTCCATGTTACATCCCACACTAGTGCTAGACCTTCATGCAACCAATCCATACTCTCATTCTTAAGAAAGCCAGGAGTTGTCTCCCTTCCATGTTACATCCCACACTAGTGCTAGACCTTCATGCAACCAATCCATACTCTCATTCTGAAGACAGCCAGGAGTTGTCTCCCTTCCATGTTACATCCCACACTAGTGCTAGACCTTCATGCAACCAATCCATACTCTCATTCTGAAGACAGCCAGGAGTTGTCTCCCTTCCATGTTACATCCCACACTAGTGCTAGACCTTCATGCAACCAATCCATACTCTCATTCTTAAGAAAGCCAGGAGTTGTCTCCCTTCCATGTTACATGCCACACTAGTGCTAGACCTTCATGCAACCAATCCATACTCTCATTCTGAAGACAGCCAGGAGTTGTCTCCCTTCCATGTTACATGCCACACTAGTGCTAGACCTTCATGCAACCAATCCATACTCTCATTCTGAAGACAGCCAGGAGTTGTCTCCCTTCCATGTTACATGCCACACTAGTGCTAGAGGTAACACATCACCAAATGTTTTCCCATAGACTTCTATGGTAACCTTATATTTTTTTTTAAATTATCCAGGCTATCAACAGCCATTCCACGTACACATGGGTACAGTCAGGCATTTAAACTACAATAAAACAATTTCTGGCCAAATTGTCCAGCTCATTTTCCGAGCACAGGTAGCGGAACACATCAACCCCAGTTCATGGTGATAAAAATGACAGCACTAAATACTTAAAATTGTGGTCAGTTTTAATTACTGGATGGATGTGCTTTTAAAAGCATAAACATCTTACACTATTTCATCCAATCACAGCTGTCACAAGTCACTGTCTCTTCAGTTGTTTACATATGTAATAGGCGCGCTCTAGTAGGCAGCTCAGTGGCAGGAGTTCAATGTAGAATGTACCTCGGTGTTTCCCTGTTCATAGTTTTGTTATAGACTTTGCGTTGTGTACTTTTATTAAATGATGGAAAGCTTTAAAAAAAACAGCAGAGCAGTGTACAGTCTTCTTCGGTTCAGTGGCATTTGTCAACTCTTTCCGCGAAATATGACACAAGGCAGAAATGTAGATAGTAATAATTTATTCTGTTAAATAAAAATAAGGAAAACAAGCAAAACAAAAGATAACAAAAACTGAACAAAAGTAGCTCTTTCACTCACTAAAAAAACCCTATTCCCTACACTAATTCCTAAGTTCTACATGACCTACTTAATTCCGAACGCTAGTTTCTCCCCCAACCCGTACTACCTACATGTTAAACCAGAGAAAATAAACTATGTCATAATCTATTTTTTTCTTAACCCACCCGACTACAGTATAAAGCTACTTCAACAGTACGAGTCTTAAAAAAATAAACCAACCCTAACGAGCCGTAGGGAACATACCCCGTATAGGCAGTGGACTTACTTGCTCGGGACACCGATACACAAGACAACGATATCAGTTGCATCAGACTCTTATATACCCCGTGAGCTAACCTCCGAAAGGTCATGACGAAGTGTTATGATTGGCTATGCAACAGTAAACAACTTCACTGCGGTACTGCGCACCCTCCGCTTCTGCTCCCAACATGGCGGACAGCGAAGGGATACGACAGATACCCAGCTACATTACATGACAGACGAAGGAAATTCCAACCAAATTTTACTTCCAAACGTGAGTAATAAGTAGAATAAATGACTACAAGATAGCGACGTCAGTACAGTACTTGCAAAATAGGCGGAAACGTAATTATGAGCCACCCAACCTATTTGTTTACATTAGCAAAACCACGTATATAAAAAGCCACCCAACCTGCCGATAAATAAGTATAAACAACCCATAACACTAATCTATTCTACCCAACAACCCATTTCTAAAGTATAAATTATCCGATCTCCTACACATACGGTTCTCGCTCAGGGAGCATGTGATTCTGATTTAGTGTAGTGGAACCTAGACCTTCGTGCAACCAATCCATACTCTCATCCTGAATACAGCCAGGAGTTGTCTCCCTTCCATGTTACATGCAACACTAGTGCTAGACCTTTGTGCAGACCAATCCATACTCTCATTCTGAATACAGCCAGGAGTTGTCTCCCTTCCATGTTACATGCCACACTAGTGCTAGACCTTCATGCAACCAATCCATACCCTCATCCTGAATTTTCATTGCGGGTAATCACCTCATCAGTATCAGTTTCTGATACCTGACGGAATGAATTCGTCGTCTTCTTTGTTGTGATCAATAGATCGAAATCCTTGGTTGGTACCTTTCTTAGACGATAGCCTGTCATTTGTGCCACATAGTCCGTACTGGACCCGTGAAGGTCCGGGTTAGAATATTGATCTTCAGTAACCCATGCTTGTCTTAAGAGGCGACTAGCGGGATCGGGTGGTCAGACTCGCTGACTTGGTTGACACGTGTCATCGGTTCCTAATTGCGCAGATCACTGCTCATGCTGTTGATCACTGGATTGTCTGGTGCAGACACATCTTTACAGACGGCCGCCATATAGCTGGAATATTGCTGAGTGCGGCATACAACTAAACTCACTCTTTCATAATCCGTACCTTCAATTTGAACGAAGTTCTCTGTTTCATGTTTTCCAAAGTCAGTTACTGCAGTAACGACTCCAGAGGCTCTGTCATCAATTCTTACAGAATCACTAATTTTGATAATGGGGGCAGCAATGTTTGTTTACGAACTCGTCGACGCAGCATAAACTCGCGACGACGTCATCAATAAAATGTTAACATATTAGGATTCGCACGGCATGTATGGAGTTTTGAGAAAGTAGTTCGAGGCTTGACGTAATCTGCATAGTTATCAGATTTGGATACCAAGTTTATCAGATTGCTTTATTTTTGCACCGATAACACCCTCCATTAGATGTAATACAGGTGTAGCAGCGAGTATGTAATACATGTGTAGCAGCGAGTATGTAATACAGGTGTAACAGCGAGTATGTAATACAGGTGTAGCAGCGAGTATGTAATACAGGTGTAGCAGCGAGTATGTAATACAGGTGTAACAGCGAGTATGTAATACAGGTGTAGCAGCGAGTATGTAATACAGGTGTAGCAGTGAGTATGTAATACAGGTGTTTCAGTGAGTATGTAATACAGGTGTAGCAGTGAGTATGTAATACAGGTTTAGCAGTGAGTATGTAATACAGGTGTAGCAGCGAGTATGTAATACAGGTGTAGCAGCGAGTATGCAATACAGGTGTAGCAGTGAGTATGTAATACAAGTGTAGAGATGAATGCATGATACAAGTGTAGAGATGAATGCATGATACAAGTGTAGAGATGAATGCATGATACAAGTGTATAAAGTAGTGATAGGAACAGTTTGTTTTCCCTGTTTTGTGTTCCCAATTTTGGCAATGAGAACATAGTGATGGCCAAGCTGAATGTGTTGCAGACTTGAGGACCCCATGATGCTGGAGCGATACCGTATGATGCAGCCTCCCTATCTACCCTTCACCTCCACCGGCTCTGCTGGGGCCATGATGCCCCACCCAGGAATGCATCCTCTCCTCGCAGGCGGGCGGTACCCCCCAGAGTTGCTGCACCAGTACCCATTTCTCTCCCCTAGTGCCCCTGGGGTGGACCCCAGATCCCCAGCAATGTCTGCAGAGAGGTGGGTATGGGGTACATGATCCAAGCTTTGTTGTAGGGTGGAGCTCTCAGTGTCTGCAGAGAGGTGGGTATGGGGTACATGATCCAAGCTTTGTTGTTGTAGGGTGGAGCTCTCAGTGTCTGCAGAGAGGTGGGTATGGGGTACATGATCCAAGCTCTGTTGTAGGGTGGAGCTCTCAGTGTCTGCAGAGGGGTGGGTATGGGGTACATGATCCAAGCTCTGTTGTAGGGTGGAGCTCTCAGTGTCTGCAGAGAGGTGGGTATGGGGTACATGATCCAAGCTTTGTTGTTGTAGGGTGGAGCTCTCTGTGTCTGCAGAGGGGTGGGTATGGGGTACATGATCCAAGCTCTGTTGTAGGGTGGAGCTCTCAGTGTCTGCAGAGAGAGGTGGGTATGGGGTACATGATCCAAGCTTTGTTGTTGTAGGGTGGAGCTCTCAGTGTCTGCAGAGGGGTGGGTATGGGGTACATGATCCAAGCTCTGTTGTAGGGTGGAGCTCTCAGTGTCTGCAGAGAGGTGGGTATGGGGTACATGATCCAAGCTCTGTTGTGTGGTGGAGCTCTCTGTGTCTGCAGAGGGGTGGGTATGGGGTACATGATCCAAGCTCTGTGGTTGTAGGGTGAAGCTCTCAGTGTCTGCAGAGAGGTGGGTATGGGGTACATGATCCAAGCTCTGTTGTAGGGTGGAGCTCTCAGTGTCTGCAGAGAGGTGGGTATGGGGAACGTGCTTAAGTCTGTGTTCTGATACATGATAAGGCTTTCTCTTAGGCTGATAGGCTGCACATATTTCCAGTCATTACTACTTGGTTCTCTGGATATATAATTCTATGTAGGCGTACTATGTGTAGATGTTCTCGTGTCATGAGGTATTGTCATAATTTCTCCTTCAGATCAAGAGCTGAGGAAGACCGACAACGAGAACTTGACAGGGAAAGAGAGCGAGAACGGGAAAGAGAAAGAGAGAAAGAAAGAGAGCGAGAAAGGGAAAAGGAACGAGAGAAGGAAAGAGAGAGGGAGGCTGAGATTCAACGTTTGAGAGAACAACAAAGAGAGATTGAACGAGAAAGACAGAAAATATTAGAAAGACACAATGACCTAACCAACTCTCATAATAGTGTGCTGACTGTGCCCCTGCGAGGTCGGCACCATGACGACATGCGCGGTCGGCACCATGACGACATGCGAGGTCGGCACCACGATGACATACGGGTCAGGGACTCGCGACAAGAGGAAGGTATGTCATTGATGGCAACAGATTCACAGTAAACCAAAGTGAAGGCTTCATTTGACTAAAACTGATTTCAGCTCATAATGTGTTGACGTTTGAATGATTGACATATCTAATTTACAGCCTCAAAGTTTGGCTCCATAACGCAAGGCACTCCACGAGATCCTGGCTGCAGGGGGTCCTCTGAGTCTAGCTACAGCAAAGATGTACGATGGCAGGATGTAGCAGGAGCACGAAGGGAACATGACCGCAATCATTACCACCATAAGGTACAGCAGCACAAACTCTACCCCAGTATACTGACATTCTAACATAGCCAGACGCACGACCGCAATCACTAGGGGTTCATACATCTAGCACCTGGCACCAGGGGTTCATACATCTAGCACCTGACACCAGGGGTTCATACATCTAGCACCAGGGGTTCATACATCTAGCACCTGGCACCAGGGGTTCATACATCTAGCACCTGACACCAGGGGTTCATACATCTAGCACCTGGCACCAGGGGTTCATACATCTAGCACCTGACACCAGGGGTTCATACATCTAGCACCTGGTTCATACACCACCAGGGGTTTCATAGCATCTAGCACACCAGGGGTTCATACATCTAGCACCTGGCACCAGGGGTTCATACATCTAGCACCTAGCACCAGGGGCACCTGACACCAGGGGTTCATACATCTAGCACCTGGCACCAGGGGTTCATACATCTAGCACCAGGGGTACATCACCAGGGTTTCATACATCTAGCACCTGGCACCAGGGGTTCATACATCTAGCACCAGGGGTTCATACATCTAGCACCTGGCACCAGGGGTTCATACATCTAGCACCTGGCACCAGGGGTTCATACATCTAGCACCAGGGGTTCATACATCTACCATCTAGCACCTGGCACCAGGGGTTCATACACCTGGCACCAGGGGTTCATACATCTAGCACCAGGGGTTCATACATCTAGCACCTGGCACCAGGGGTTCATACATCTAGCAGCACCAGGGGCACCAGGGGCACCTGGACACCAGGGGTTCATACATCTAGCACCAGGGGTTCATACATCTAGCACCTGGCACCAGGGGTTCATACATCTAGCAGCACCAGGGGTTCATACATCTAGCACCAGGGGTTCATACATCTAGCACCTGGCACCAGGGGTTCATACATCTAGCACCTGGCACCAGGGGTTCATACATCTAGCACCAGGGGTTCATACATCTAGCACCAGGGGTTCATACATCTAGCACCTGGCACCAGGGGTTCATACATCTAGCACCTGGCACCAGGGGTTCATACATCTAGCACCTGGCACCAGGGGTTCATACATCTAGCACCAGGGGGGTTCATACACACACAGGGGTTCATACATCTAGCACCTGGCACCAGGGGTTCATACATCTAGCACCTGACACCAGGGGTTCATACATCTAGCACCTGGCACCAGGGGTTCATACATCTAGCACCTGACACCAGGGGTTCATACATCTAGCAGCACCAGGGTTCATACATCTAGCACCTGACACCAGGGGTTCATACATCTAGCACCTGGCACCAGGGGTTCATACATCTAGCACCACACCAGGGGTTCATCCAGCACCATCTAGCACCTGCACCACCAGGGTTCATACATCTAGCACCTGACACCAGGGGTTCATACATCTAGCACCTGGCACCTGGGTCCTTACATCTAGCACCTGACACCAGGGGTTCATACATCTAGCACCTGACACCAGGGGTTCATACATCTAGCACCAGGGGTTCATACATCTAGCACCTGGCACCAGGGGTTCATACATCTAGCACCTGGCACCAGGGGTTCATACATCTCTAGCAGCACACCAGGGGTTCATACATCTAGCACCTGGCAGGGGTTCATACATTCAGCACCTACCAGGGCATCTAGCACCAGGGGTTCATACATCTAGCACCTGGCACCAGGGGTTCATACATCTAGCACCTGGCACCAGGGGTTCATACATCTAGCACCTGGCACCAGGGGTTCATACATCTAGCACCTGGCACCAGGGGTTCATACATCTAGCACCTGACACCAGGGGTTCATACATCTAGCACCTGGCACCAGGGGTTCATACATCTAGCACCAGGGGTTCATACATCTAGCACCTGGCACCAGGGGTTCATCACCAGGGGTTCAGCACAGCACCTAGCACCAGGGGTTACATCTATACAGGGTTTATCTAGCACCTGGACACCAGGGGTTCATACATCTAGCACCAGGGCACCATACATCTAGCACCTGGCACCATACATCTAGCACCTGGCACCAGGGGTTCATACATCTAGCACCTGGCACCAGGGTTCATACATCTAGCATCAGCACCAGGGGTTCATACATTAGCACCTGGCACCAGGGGTTCATACATCTAGCACCTGCACCTGGCACCAGGGGTTCATACATCTAGCACCTGGCACCAGGGGTTCATACATCTAGCACCAGGGGTTCATATATCTAGCACCTGGCACCAGGGGTTCATACATCTAGCACCAGGGGTTCATATATCTAGCACACCAGGGGTTCATACATCTAGCACCTGACACCAGGGGTTCATACATCTAGCACCTGACACCAGGGGTTCATACATCTAGCACCTGACACCAGGGGTTCATACATCTAGCACCAGGGGTTCATACATCTAGCACCTGGCACCAGGGGTTCATACATCTGGCACAAGGGGTTCATACATCTAGCACCTGGCACCAGGGGTTCATACATCTGGCACCAGCTGTTCATACATCTAGCACCTGGTACTCCGGTTCATACATCTACCTGGTACTTCAGTTCATACATCCAAGATGGAGAAGACTTATAAAGATATTTCCCTACTTGACCTAAGTCCCTTCTTTTACACTTGTTTGTCTCTTGTGGACAGATATTACAAATTTTCTAGAACTCTATTGATTGACTGTGTGTGTGACAATGATAGACTTTCTCTTTTAGTTGTTTCATGTACTCTGTCACAAAAGCTTTTCAAAATTTTGCAGGGTCCTAGACTAGTGTTGCATCCATTGCTTGCACTTTTCACATCCATGTGGACGTTGATAGTAATGAATAATGTGTTGTTTGCTTACAGCCCCCCGACATCCCCTCTGTACGTCACCACGCAAGTATGGCTGAATCTGGAAGAAGGTATATGGTGGACCACCCTGAATCTGACCATGGCCGTGGTTCAGTCGGGATGGATCGAGGTCAGCCTCCGCCGCTTGTGTCCCCACGGGGTCAAGGTGATGCTAGTCGAGGGGACAAAACAACTGATGGTGCCATCTTCCGACCGTTTGAAAAGCCTGCTCCTGATTCCCAGTATTCCCAATATTCACAACACCTTCAAAACTCAAAATCAGCCGACCTGTCTGTGCCCGCCTACAGACGATCTCATGATCGGGAACAGAATGGGGAAGTCAGAGAGAGGTTTCCTGACTCTATGGAACGTAGAGACAATTCCATGGCAGATGGTTACGATCATCACCAGCTCAAGAAGCCCATCAATATGACTCACAGTAATCATAACATTGAAAGGTTTGACTTCAAGAGTTTGGCCACAGAGTTTGGCCATCTTCCAAAAGCTGAGTCGCAAAGTGTGGACAGTCGAGTGTTGATACCATTCTCAGACACAACCTATGTGCAGAAGCAGTGTGTTGAGAACCATGTACGCAGTAAACTGGATATAGAGGAACAGAAACTACGTGATTCTCGTGTCAATGGCACCTATTGCAGCGACAGTGAAGATGATGCTTTGTCCGATGACGAGGAGCGTCGGCTTCAGCATTTGATGTTCATCACCAGAGTTCCGCCACTCAAGTTTGAAGCATCACCACCTAAAATGAAACTGCTGGGAGAACTTGGACTTGTAACACTTAGGAGAAAGAAAGGTGGGTTGAGAGATAAGAAGTTTGCTGTGGTGCCAATTATAACATTGTTGGAATTTTCTGATGGATAGTTTGGTGTCAGCTGGTGTTCATGCATTTCATTAATCTCTCAATAGCCAGGTAGCCAGTGTTGTACAACACAATCATTGATCTCTCAAACAATAGCGAGGTAGATAAGGGCCGGACCCACTTGTACTATTCAATCATGAATCTCTCAAACAATAGCGAGGTAGATAAGGGCCGGACCCACTTGTACTATTCAATCATTAATCTCTCAAACAATAGCGAGGTAGATAAGGGCCGGACCCACTTGTACTATTCAATCATTAATCATTACAAATCCTTCCGATTGTGATTTTTGGCTTTGGCTACAGTCACCATCCTCTTGCGCACAGCAATTGGAGGCTGACATCATTGTAAGCTACAATAAAAATTTACAATTGGTTTGTACAAGTAGCCAAGGTTGTTGTAGACTGTGAATACGCCTGACAAAATTGTTTTCAAGTCTAGGACTGTTTCACACAAATAATCTGCTTTACCTTCAAGGAATGCAGGGATCACTTTGAACTGCAGCACTGTACATCATTAGTATAAGCTACGCGTTCGGTTTTAAAAGAAATTTAGAGCTGTCATAATTTCGTTATATACCTCAGCTTTTCCAACACAGTATGTTCATCCCCTGATTATGGTTTATTTTTTATATTCTAATTTCCATAGCTACTATACCACTAAATCTAGTATACCATAGCTACTATACCACTAAATCTAGTATACCATAGCTACTATACCACTAAATCTAGTATACCATAGCTACTATACCACTAAATCTAGTATACCATAGCTACTATACCACTAAATCTAGTATACCATAGCTACTATACCACTAAATCTAGTATACCATAGCTACTATACCACTAAATCTAGTATACCATAGCTACTATACCACTAAATCTAGTATACCAATGTATGAATGCATTTATTCATATTTAAATATGTTCATACAACTGGTAGTATTTCTCTGGTTGCAATATCAAACTCGCAGTACATAAATTGCAACAGTTTATGTAGAAAAGCATGGGCATGATATCCAGGTCATCGTTTTCTTCTAACAATTGTGTTTCCTGCAACTAAGGGTGTGATGGATAGAGGCACTGGAGGAGTGCTATGATTGGTACTACTTTTGGAATACTGTTCATTTTGGCAGATAAAGTGTAAGAATTTTGTCCCTCCCCTATTCAAGATTGCAATCTTAGCTAACTTAGCAATATCAAATGGAAATTATCTTACAGTCGTGCTAAGATTGTTGTGTGCAAGTGGAAGAGACCTGTATGGTGATTGTAAAGTTGATTGTAGGGACGTAAGATTGATTGTAACTAAGATTGTTGTGTGCAAGTGGGCCCAAGTGTGAGAGGAAGTGCTCATCAAGGGTCTTGATCTCTATTTGGATCTCAATTTTGGTGCTAAGTAATCTGGTGATGATGTCTGTTTTAGACATTCAGTACGAGCGTCTTGGAAAGCGGCGGAAACTGCATCGTGAACGCAGCATAAGCCCTGTGGAAGTTGAGGAGGAGAACTGCTCTCCTCTGCCACACCCAAGTCTGGCTGAATCTGATGCCTTGTGTCACGACAACGACTACCCAGACAAGTGCCAGTTCCTCCACAACATGGACCTGGGACCACTCGGTCGAGACAGAAAGAAAGGTGCCTATATTTACACTTGTACATAGAGGACTAGAGATCTAGATACATATGTATACTAGAGAACTTGCTACCTCAAGTCTGTTCTCTGCTACCTAAAACCTGTTCTCTGCTACCTCAGGTCTGTTCTCTGCTACCTCAAACCTGTCCTCTGCTACCTCAGGTCTGTCCTCGGCTACCTCAAACCTGTCCTCTGCTACCTCAGGTCTGTTCTCTGCTACCTCAAGTCTGTTCTCTGCAACCTCAGGTCTGTTCTCTGCTACCTCAGGTCTGTTCTCTGCTACCTCAGGTCTGGCCTCTGCTACCTCAGGTCTGTCCTCTGCTACCTCAAGTCTGTTCTCTGCTACCTCAGGTCTGTTCCCTGCTACCTCAGGTCTGTTCTCTGCTACCTCAAGTCTGTTCTCTGCTACCTCAGGTCTGTCCTCTGCTACCTCAGGTCTGTCCTCTGCTACCTCAAACCTGTTTTCTGCTACCTCAAACCTGTTCTCTGCTACCTCAGGTCTGTCCTCTGCTACCTCAAACCTGTTTTCTGCTACCTCAAACCTGTTCTCTGCTACCTCAGGTCTGTTCTCTGCTACCTCAGGTCTGTCCTCTGCTACCTCAGGTCTGTCCTCTGCTACCTCAAACCTGTTCTCTGCTACCTCAAGTCTGTTCTCTGCTACCTCAAACCTGTTCTCTGCTACCTCAGGTCTGTTCTCTGCTACCTCAGGTCTGTCCTCTGCTACCTCAAACCTGTTTTCTGCTACCTCAAACCTGTTCTCTGCTACCTCAGGTCTGTCCTCTGCTACCTCAAACCTGTTCTCTGCTACCTCAAACCTGTTCTCTGCTACCTCAGGTCTGTCCTCTGCTACCTCAGGTCTGTTCTCTGCTACCTCAGGTCTGTCCTCTGCTACCTCAGGTCTGTCCTCTGCTACCTCAGGTCTGTTCTCTGCTACCTCAGGTCTGTTCTCTGCTACCTCAAGTCTGTTCTCTGCTACCTCAGGTCTGTTCTCTGCTACCTCAAGTCTGTCCTCTGCTACCTCAGGTCTGTCCTCTGCTACCTCAAAACCTGTTCTCTGCTACCTCAAACCTGTCTCTCTGCTACCTCAAACCTGTTCTCTGCTACCTCAGGTCTGTTCTCTGCTACCTCAGGTCTGTCTCTCTGCTACCTCAAACCTGTTCTCTCTGCTACCTCAGGTCTGTTCTCTGCTACCTCAGGTCTGTTCTCTGCTACCTCAAGGTCTGTTCTCTGCTACCTCAGGTCTGTCCTCTGCTACCTCAGGTCTGTCTGTCCTCTGCTACCTCAAGCCTGTTCTCTGCTACCTCAAACCTGTTCTCTGCTACCTCAAACCTGTTCTCTGCTACCTCAGGTCTGTCCTCTGCTACCTCAAGTCTGTCCTCTGCTACCTCAAGTCTGTTCTCTGCTATCTCAGGTCTGTTCTCTGCTACCTCAAGTCTGTCCTCTGCTACCTCAAACCTGTTCTCTGCTACCTCATGTCTGTTCTCTGCTACCTCAGGTCTGTTCTCTGCTACCTCAGGTCTGTTCTCTGCTACCTCAGGTCTGTTCTCTGCTACCTCAAGTCTGTTCTCTGCTACCTCAGGTCTGTCCTCTGCTACCTCAAGTCTGTCCTCTGCTACCTCAAACCTGTCCTCTGCTACCTCAGATCTGTTCTCTGCTACCTCAAGTCTGTTCTCTGCTACCTCAGGTCTGTCCTCTGCTACCTCAAACCTGTTCTCTGCTACCTCAAACCTGTTCTCTGCTACCTCAGGTCTGTTCTCTGCTACCTCAGGTCTGTCCTCTGCTACCTCAAACCTGTTCTCTGCTACCTCAAACCTGTTCTCTGCTACCTCAGGTCTGTTCTCTGCTACCTCAGGTCTGTCCTCTGCTACCTCAAACCTGTTCTCTGCTACCTCAAACCTGTTCTCTGCTACCTCAAACCTGTTCTCTGCTACCTCAGGTCTGTTCTCTGCTACCTCAAACCTGTTCTCTGCTACCTCAGATCTGTTCTCTGCTACCTCCAGTCTGTTCTCTGCTACCTCAGGTCTGTCCTCTGCTACCTCAAGCCTGTTCTCTGCTACCTCAAACCTGTTCTCTGCTACCTCAAACCTGTTCTCTGCTACCTCATGTCTGTTCTCTGCTACCTCAGGTCTGTTTTCTGCTACCTCAGGTCTGTTCTCTGCTACCTCAGGTCTGTTCTCTGCTACCTCAAGTCTGTTCTCTGCTACCTCAGGTCTGTCCTCTGCTACCTCAAGTCTGTCCTCTGCTACCTCAAACCTGTCCTCTGCTACCTCAGATCTGTTCTCTGCTACCTCAAGTCTGTTCTCTGCTACCTCAGGTCTGTCCTCTGCTACCTCAAACCTGTTCTCTGCTACCTCAAACCTGTTCTCTGCTACCTCAGGTCTGTTCTCTGCTACCTCAAGTCTGTCCTCTGCTACCTCAGGTCTGTCCTCTGCTACCTCAAACCTGTTCTCTGCTACCTCAAGTCTGTTCTCTGCTACCTCAAACCTGTTCTCTGCTACCTCAGGTCTGTTCTCTGCTACCTCAAACCTGTTCTCTGCTACCTCAAGTCTGTTCTCTGCTACCTCAGGTCTGTTCTCTGCTACCTCAAACCTGTTCTCTGCTACCTCAAACCTGTTCTCTGCTACCTCAGGTCTGTTCTCTGCTACCTCAAGTCTGTTCTCTGCTACCTCAAACCTGTTCTCTGCTACCTCAAACCTGTTCTCTGCTACCTCAAACCTGTTCTCTGCTACCTCAGGTCTGTTCTCTGCTACCTCAAACCTGTTCTCTGCTACCTCAGATCTGTTCTCTGCTACCTCCAGTCTGTTCTCTGCTACCTCAGGTCTGTTCTCTGCTACCTCAAGTCTGTTCTCTGCTACCTCAAACCTGTTCTCTGCTACCTCAAACCTGTTCTCTGCTACCTCAAACCCTGTCTGTCAGGTCTCTGCTACCTCCAGGTCTGTTCTCTGCTACCTCAAGTCTGTTCTCTGCTACCTCAAGTCTGTTCTCTGCTACCTCAAACCTGTTCTCTGTTCTCTGCTACCTCAAGGTCTGTTCTCTGCTACCTCAAACCTGTTCTCTGCTACCTCAAACCTGTTCTCTGCTACCTCAAACCTGTTCTCTGCTACCTCAGGTCTGTTCTCTGCTACCTCAGGTCTGTTCTCTGCTACCTCAAGTCTGTTCTCTGCTACCTCAGGTCTGTTCTCTGCTACCTCAAGTCTGTCCTCTGCTACCTCAAACCTGTCCTCTGCTACCTCAAGTCTGTTCTCTGCTACCTCAGGTCTGTCCCCTGCTACCTCAAACCTGTTCCCTCAAACCTGTTCCCTGCTACCTCAAACCTGTTCTCTGCTACCTCAAACCTGTTCTCTGCTACCTCAAGTCTGTTCTCTGCTACCTCAAGCCTGTCCTCTGCTACCTCAAGCCTGTCCTCTGCTACCTCAAGCCTGTCCTCTGCATCCTCATCCCCCTGTTCTGGGGCTGTAGGGTAGCATAACCCGGGCTCGATTCTCCACATGGGTACCAATGTCTGAAGCCCATTTCTGGTGTCCCCCGCCGTGATATTACCTGATTCTTGCTATATCAAGTCCATTCTCTGCTGTCATCGTCCGTTGCCTAGATGTCTCCTAGATGGAAATAGTCGCTGCAGGTTTGTGTAGTTGAATCACTGACATAAAGCTTATCTTTGTTGCAGAGTTGGACCAGATCAGAACATTTTGTGAGCAGGAGAAACAGAGGAGGCTTGGAGTCCTAGAGGAAAATAACCGAGTTCAGATGAATGGAGATGGTGATATCTTACCAGGTACAATGATGTATTGCTGCAACATTCAACATAGTGTATTTCCCTTTGATTTGTAGTTTATGGCTAAGTCAGGTGTGTAATTGATGTGATTACATCTGGCCGTGATGATTGTGCTGTTATACCCCCTGTGGCTTTGAATGTTGACATCATCACTTTGTTGTGTAACTGGAATACAGCTAACTGCTTATATAGTATTCATTCATCAACTTTCATTGTCATTGTACCCCAAAAAAGATTTATTCCTGGTTAAACCCCCCTTCCCCAAACCCCAAACCTGAGACCCACTCATTTCTTCGTTTAGTTGAAGTCCAATAGTACCCTTTGCTGTTCTAATCCAAGATTTTTTCCCACACTTTCAGAAACTTCAGGTTGTGGCGTGAAACGGAAATTTGATGAAATGGAAAATATGTCATCCCAATCAGAACCTGTAAAAATTTCTCTGAGTCAGTTGCAAGCTCGTCACCAGAAACAAGGAAAACCATCCAACCATGTCAAGTCGAGTGCAGTAGTGTTCCCAGAGTCACGGGATCGCCAGCTCAGTAGAGAGTTTGCGGAACAATTCCATGAATCTGTTCTCCAGACAACAAGACAAAAAGAGATAGCAAGTCGTTTAGGTAATAACAGGTTCCACTGAAACATCATCACATCTGTAGGGCAGAACTTACTGATACATATAAATCTCTGATGGATTCATTCCTTTGTTCTTCTTTCAAGGAAGTCTTGAACACAATGAAGGAGAGTTTATGCTTTCAATAAGACCTGTTTTCAGTTTTTGCTGCTCCCATGTAGGACCTGCTTTTGGGGTCTGCTGTTGAAATATGTCGGTTAAGTCTCATCTCATCAAGATTTTTCACAATCATGGAATCTAGTGTTTTTCCAGCGAACACCCAGTGAAGGAATAAATGTTTCCTCATCTCATGGCTTGTTGCAGCCCACCAGTTGGTTCATGTGCCTTCCACACAAAGCCAGTGCTTCAAGTGATGGAGTTTTACCTTTCCAATAAATAGTAGATGAATGTGTGTATCAGTCTGTATACATTTTGGTTCACGAGTATGTTCAGAACCTTAAACTATGTATTTACAAGGGCAGTAAGGTTTCAGGGGCTCAGGCTCAGGTAAAAAAGTAAGACTTTGTAGGCCAGGTCTTGCTGATACATCATCACTTGTGTAGGCCAGGTCTTGCTGATACATCATCACTTCTGTAGGCCAGGTCTTGCTAACACATCATCACTTGTGTAGTCCAGGTCTTGCTGATACATCATCACTTCTGTAGGCCAGTTGTGTAGGCCAGTTCCTAATACATCATCACTTGTTTAGGCCAGTTGTTCCTAATACATCATCACTTGTGTAGGCCAGTTGTTCCTAATACATCATCACTTGTGTAGACCGGGTGTTGCTCATACATCATCACTTCTGTAGGCCGGGTCTTACATGTTTGTGTGAGAAGACATTTTTGTTGTTCCTACAGGGTCCAGAGGGCAGGAAGAGTCCTTCAGCTCAAGACCTCTCGAACAATCACAAGGTCCAACACTCCGCATCAATGCATCAGGTGAATCTAGTGGTTCAACACGTGAAACAGACATCTTGGACTATGGGGCCAATCAAGGGTTCCGCTGGCCGGGTATTGAAGCCATAATTGACTCCTATCAAAGATACGTAGAAGGTGGGTGTGGTTTGGGGCCTGCTTGTTACTTGTTCCGTGTGTGGAAGGTGGATGTGGTTAGGGGCCAGTTAGTCCCTTGTTCCATATATGGAAGGTGGGTGTGGTTAGGGGCCAGTTAGTTCCTTGTTCCGTATATCGAAGGTGGGTGTGGTTAGGGGCCAGCTAATTCCTTGTTCCGTATATGGAAGGTGGGTGTGGTTAGGGGGCCAGCAAGTTCCTTGTTCCATGTGTGGAAGGTGGGTGTGGTTAGGGGGCAGCTAGTTCCTTGTTCCATATATCGAAGGTGGGTGTGGTTAAGGGCCAGTTAGTTCCTTGTTCCGTATATGGAATGTGGTTGCTGTTAGGGGCCAGTTAGTTCCTTGTTCCATATATCGAAGGTGGGTGTGGTTAGGGGGCCAGCAAGTTCCTTGTTTCATGTGTGGAAGGTGGGTGTGGTTAGGGGGCAGCTAGTTCCTTGTTCCATATATCGAAGGTGGGTGTGGTTAGGGGCCAGTTAGTTCCTTGTTCCGTATATGGAAGGTGGTTGTGGTTAGGGGCCAGTTAGTTCCTTGTTCCATATATGGAAGGTGGGTGTGGTTAGGGACCAGTTAGTTCCTTGTTCCGTATATGGAAGGTGGGTGTGGTTAGGGGCCAGTTAGTTCCTTGTTCCGTATATCGAAGGTGGGTGTGGGTAGGGGGCAGCTAGTTCCTTGTTCCGTATATGGAAGGTGGGTGTAGCTAATTCTTTGTTCCGTATAAAGAAGGTAGCTGTAGTTAGGGCCGGTTCATGGCCGGGAAGGCTAAAATCGCGACGCTTCTCGGGTCAATGAGCGTAGCCCTTGCAGTACTTGCAATGCAATGTTATGGCTGAATGAACACAGTGCGTCTTGCTTGGAGGCTCTGACAAATTACAAAGAAAAACAGGATTAACATTGACGCTCTATAATTTTGGCACATATAAATATATAAATAAAGTTATTCACGTCATTTCCATATACAATACCTTTTCCAGTAAATGCTTGATCAAAACGTTATAATATATTATTGATGTAATTTAAAATCGAAGTGGCAACATAATGATTAACTTTAGTGTCACACTTTGCAGTCCATATTTGTGAGAAATGCCCCAGATAAGAGAGAACTTGTCAAAATAGGAATGTCGCCAAAAGGAGATAGTATATCGACTACGTGTGTGAGATGACATGCTGAGCTGTGGAAGCAGAAACATGTGTCTAATGACAGCACACGATCTGTTTAGACCACTTTTCAGAAGTCATGCTGTCAAGAATTTTCCTAAATTTCACTAAAAAATGAAATGCGATATGTGGCTGTTTTCATGTATTTTACATTATGGACTAAAATTCAGCTGAAATAATGGTGCTAGTTATGCCAGCAAATGGAGAAATATGCAAAAATATCAGTTGGCTACCAGCGAACACCGTCTTGTATTTTACGTTATTATATCTGTACATTTTGAGGAAAAGTTTAATTGATTAAACTATAGTTATCAATTATACATAAAAGATCATAAATTACAATTTGTGGACAATGATAACAAGAAATTAGGTTTGAATTGGATCTTAAAAATTCATAAACGTAGTTTACAAATAGGTGACCTTTGCGCTATGCAACTTACAACCTCTTATTCCAACTACGATTTTTTCGAAATACATATTTGCAATTATTTCTAATTAAATACATCTGAAATACAAATGCCATTATTTAAAGTTGTGAACAAGAGAAGAAGCTGAACACTTTACTATAGCAATGTTTTGAAAAGAAATCTATCTGTTCCTAACATGGATTATGCTTCCCGGCACCGTATCTTTAGCTTTGGTGGTACTACCGTATTCCGTTGGAAATAGCTCTCCCGGTAAAACCGAAATATACATTTTAGCCTTCCCGGGACATCTGAAAAATAAATTTTAGCCTTCCCGGCACGAGACCTTAGGACCAGGTAGTTCCTTGTTCCGTATGTAGAAGGTGACTGTAGTTAGGGGCCAGCTAATTCCTTGTTCCATGTGTGGAAGGTTGGTGTGGTTAGGGGCCAGCTGGTTCCTTGTTCCATTTGTAGGAGATGCTCACAAGTGACTATCACAATGAAGATGGACATGCTGATTTTAAGAAGTGGGAATGGGGAGGAAACAGTTATTGGTTAGAGTCAGTATTCTCTCCAGTGACAGAACGCATGGTCCTGCCATGGTGTTGGTGTAGATATAAACACAATTAGTGTCAGGTTTTGACTAGTGATGGTAATTTTGCAGAGCAGCGCTTGGAACGCCACATACTGACAGACCGTTGTCGGAGACTGAGAGCTGATAACATGGACCTGAACCGAACAGCCGAGAGACTAAGCCATAGAGTATCGGTAGGTACCCAGTTCAGTAGGGAGCATTAGTATTAAAACATGCGAGTTTCATGATTTCACCCTGACCTAATGTGTTTCATGAATTCAACAGAGACCATTTTCACAACCTTGACCAGTGTGATGTGTGTTTCACTGAGTTTATCATGTGTGTTTCAGAGTCTCCTTGATGCAAAGCAGCATGTAGAGGGGGAGCGGGCACAGGCGCAAAGTGCAATAGACAGCATGAAGAAGTGTCTCAAGTACCTGAGGTGATGCTGACAGCACTGGAGACGCCACTGTGCATTACAGCGTCAAATACTACTCAATTTCTACGGGATCAAATTCAGCAATGTTCATATCTTTCTCATCAGTCACTCTCTTTCATCGTCATGGAAACTAACTCCACGCTGATGGCAGCAATGGATAAATACTCCGTTACCATGGCAATCTCACGTTGCCATGTAAACTAGTTCTTCAAGGTAACTGTTGTTACTAATGAAAATGTGCCCTCAGATTTTCAATTTGCGACATATCACAGCTGGAAGTGTTGTTGAGAATGAACGTGATTGGCAGGAGGGAAGATTGTACTTGTCTGTGACAACTATGGCATCATCGTGTGTGTCTGGGTGACACATATGACATCATCGACATATCTGTGATTCCCTGCGGCCTTATGGCACCATGTGATAGTTGAGCTGTCTCTGTTCATGTCCTAGCAGAGTTCTGTCCCTTTCAGTGATGACTTGCACATACACCGCCTTATTCTTAGATAGTGAATATTGCTACACACCTGTTCCAATTCAAGAAAATATCTATAAATGAAATATATTTCAATTCCCAGTAAAGTCATGTGTTAATGGGTTGACAGAAGACTTTAGAGAAATGGTGGAAATGATATTGCCTATTGTGATTGGAGACCTTGTTTGACTAGGTGTTGACAGATGATATGTGACTGGCCCATGTAGACAGGTGGCACGTGAGTGGCCCTGTAGACAAGTGGCATGTGACTGGCCAATGTAGACAAGTGACTGGCCCTGTAGACAGCTGACATGTGTCTGGCCCTGTAGACAAGTGGCATGTGACTGGCCCTGTAGACAGGTGACACGTGACTGGCCCATGTAGACAGGTGACAAGTGACTGGCCCTGTAGACAAGTGACAAGTGACTGGCCCTGTAGACAGGTGGCACGTGACCGGCCATGTAGACAGGTGGCACGTGACTAGCCCTGTACACATGCATGGTCCTTCAGACAGGTGACATGTGACTGGCCCTGTAGACAGGTGACATGTGACTGGCCCTGTAGACAGGTGACACGTGACTGGCCCTGTAGACATGTGACTGGCCCTGTAGACAGGTGACATGTGACTGGCCCTGCAATACTATTGTGAATCATTTCTCCGTGGAAATCTCATGAACTGAAATTTGTGCAAGCATTTTTACGATTTAAGGTAAAGAGTATGTCTTAAATTTTGTGAATTTCCCAGACTAGCACACTAATATGGAAATGCTGCTAGTGAAACATAATTGACTAGCTGATAATGAATAACTATATGATAAACATAGCATGGTTAGTTTGCATTTACTTGTTTACAAGACTGTGTTTTGGGAGATATACAACATGCAATAGTATTACTGGTTATACCAAGCAATATGTGAAGTATTGTAGGTAGCAGTGGTGTAAGTGAAACATGTCAAGGTATTAAACACTGAGTAATCGAACATACATAATGTCAAGGCATTAAACACTGAGTAATCGAACATACATAATGTCAAGGCATTAAACACTGAGTAATCGAACATACATAATGTCAAGGCATTAAACACTGAGTAATCGAACATACATAATGTCAAGGCATTAAACACTGAGTAATCGAACATACATAATGTCAAGGTATTAAACACTGAGTAATCGAACATACATAATGTCATGGTATTAAACACTGAGTAATTGAACAGATATAATGTCAATGCATTAAACACTGAGTAATTGGGAAGTTTCACTCAAAATAATTTAAAAACAAGTTATTGTTTTATTTATGAAATTTGTTTCTTGAATTATTTGTGCAATATATATTATTTTTGAGTCAAATTTTAGTCTCCATGTAGAATGTTTTCAGACATTGATTTTTGGATGCTGATTCCCTCTACAATTTCTGCAAGTAGCTGAGGGTGTGTCCATGCATTGCCCGTTAGGTTTGGAGAAACATGAAGCAAGGAACACTGGGATTCCCAAGTTTGAATGTGTGGACATGTGGCGCAGTACGGTGCTACTGTGCTGTTTATTTATGATTCTGTGTAGTAGACAGTAGTGAAGTGTGGCGAGTCACTCCTGATGATAATCATGTATGTTTCCTAATTGTTTCTACAATGTGTTGATGTGTAGTCTGTAGGCCACATTCCTGTCACATTTCCTTGGAAAAAAAGCATTAAAAACTATCCTTCTAATGTACAAAGTGTTTTGTTGATCATTAAATGGTTTACCTTGTTGTGGACTATCCTGCTATTTACTGATTTTCTGGATCCCAGTAGGAACATCATGCATTCAAATGTCTGGATCCCAGTAGGAACATCATGCATTCAAATGTCTGGATCCCAGTAGGAACATCATGCATTCAAATGTCTGGATCCCAGTAGGATCATCATGCATTCAAATGTCTGGATCCCAGTAGGATCATCATGCATTCAAATGTCTGGATCCCAGTAGGATCATCATGCATTCAAATGTCTGATCCCAGTAGGATCTTCATGCATTCAAATGTCTGGATCCCAGTAGGATGCATCATGCATTCAAATGTCTGGATCCCAGTAGGATCATCATGCATTCAAATGTCTGGATCCCAGTAGTAGGATCATCATGCATTCAAATGTCTGATCCCAGTAGGATCATCATGCATTCAAATGTCTGGATCCCAGTAGGATCTTCATGCATTCAAATGTCTGGATCCCAGTAGGATCTTCATGCATTCAAATGTCTGGATCCCAGTAGGATCTTCATGCATTCAAATGTCTGGATCCCAGTAGGATCTTCATGCATTCAAATGTCTGGATCCCAGTAGGATCATCATGCATTCATCATCATGCATTCAAATGTCTGATCCCAGTAGGATCATCATGCATTCAAATGTCTGGATCCCAGTAGGATCATCATGCATTCAAATGTCTGGATCCCAGTAGGATCATCATGCATTCAAATGTCTGGATCAAATGTCTGGATCCCAGTAGGATCTTCATGCATTCAAATGTCTGATCCCAGTAGGATCATCATGCATTCAAATGTCTGGATCCCAGTAGGATCATCATGCATTCAAATGTCTGGATCCCAGTAGGGATCATCATGCATTCAAATGATCCCAGTAGGATCCCAGTAGGATCATCATGCATTCAAATGTCTGGATCCCATGTAGGATCTTCATGCATTCAAATGTCTGGATCCCAGTAGGATCATCATGCATTCAAATGTCTGGATCCCAGTAGGATCATCATGCATTCAAATGTCTGGATCCCAGTAGGATCTTCATGCATTCAAATGTCTGGATCCCAGTAGGATCATCATGCATTCAAATGTCTGGATCCCAGTAGGATCATCATGCATTCAAATGTCTGGATCCCTGTAGGAACATCATGCATTCAAATGTCTGGATCCCAGTAGGAACATCATGCATTCAAATGTCTGGATCCCTGTAGGAACATCATGCATTCAAATGTCTGGATCCCTGTAGGATCTTCATGCATTCAAATGATCCCAGTGATCTTCATGATCAAATGTCTGGAGTAGGATCATCATGCATTCAAATGTCTGGATCCCAGTAGGATCTCTTCATCATGCATTCAAATGTCTGGATCCCAGTAGGATCTTCAAATGTCATCTTCATGCATTCAAATGGATCCCAGTAGGATCTTCATGCATTCAAATGTCTGATCCCAGGATCTTCTCATTCATTCAAATGTCTGGATCCCAGTAGGATCATCATGCATTCAAATGTCTGGATCCCAGTAGGATCTTCATGCATTCAAATGTCTGGATCCCAGTAGGATCTTCATGCATTCAAATGTCTGGATCCCAGTAGGAACATCATGCATTCAAATGTCTGGATCCCAGTAGGAACATCATGCATTCAAATGTCTGGATCCCAGTAGGATCTTCATGCATCTTCATGCATTGGATTGTCTGCATCAGGTGACAGGAGGGGGCGGGGCGGTGGGTATAGTGGTTAGGAGCAATCGCTCCTCACGCCCAAGGTACAATTTGAGAAGCCCATTTCTGGTGTCCCCCAGAATATTGCTGGAATATTGCTAAAAACGGTGTAAAACCACTCAGTCAGTCAGTCAGGTGACAGGGAGAACAATAGATTGTTTCGATCTCAGTGTTAGCCATACCAGTTCCCAATCCTGACCTGTTGTGCAAGAATGTCACAAAACCATTGTGATCACCCTGTTCCCAATCCAGAACTGTTGTGCAAGAATGTCACAAAACCATTGTGATCACCCTGTTCCCAATCCTGACCTGTTGTGCAAGAATGTCACAAAACCATTGTGATCACCCTGTTCCCAATCCTGACCTGTTGTGCAAGAATGTCACAAAACCATTGTGATCACCCTGTTCCCAATCCAGAACTGTTGTGCAAGAATGTCACAAAACCATTGTGATCACCCTGTTCCCAATCCTGACCTGTTGTAATCACCCTGTTCCCAATCCTGACCTGTTGTGATCACCCTGTTCCCAATCCTGACCTGTTGTGATCACCCTGTTCCCAATCCTGACCTGTTGTAATCACCCTGTTCCCAATCCTGAACTGTTGTAATCACCCTGTTCCCAATCCTGACCAGTTGTAATCACCCTGTTCCCAATCCTGACCTGTTGTGATCACCCTGTTCCCAATCCTGACCTGTTGTGATCACCCTGTTCCCAATCCTGACCTGTTGTGATCACCCTGTTCCCAATCCTGACCTGTTGTAATCACCCTGTTCCCAATCCTGACCTGTTGTGCATGAATGTGTTGTGAAAGCAACAAACAACAAAGAAATGTGCATGATATAATTGACAATTGTATTCTGAAATTTACAAGTTTAAAATAGCCCTACAATATGAATCTAATCAAACTTGTTGCCTTGAAGATTGATACATACTGGACAATGACATTATTGTATCAAGTTCAGTTACAGATGCTCCACCCACCTAAAAGTGGTGTACAGACAACTATCATGAACACTGTATTGTGTGCCATGTGCTGACAACTACCATGAACACTGTATTGTGTGCCATGTGCTGACAACTACCATGAACACTGTATTGTGTGCCATGTTCTGACAACTACCATGAACACTGTGTTGTGTGCCATGTTCTGACAACTACCATGAACACTGTATTGTGTGCCATGTGCTGACAACTACCATGAACACTGTATTGTGTGCCATGTTCTGACAACTGCCATGAACACTGTATTGTGTGCCATGTTCTGACAACTACCATGAACACTGTATTGTGTGCCATGTTCTGACAACTGCCATGAACACTGTATTGTGTGCCATGTGCTGACAACTACCATGAACACTGTATTGTGTGCCATGTGCTGACAACTACCATGAACACTGTATTGTGTGCCATGTGCTGACAACTACCATGAACACTGTATTGTGTGCCATGTTCTGACAACTACCATGAACACTGTATTGTGTGCCATGTGCGGACAACTACCATGAACACTGTATTGTGTGCCATGTGCTGACAACTGCCATGAACACTGTATTGTGTGCCATGTGCTGACAACTACCATGAACACTGTGTTGTGTGCCATGTGCTGACAACTACCATGAACACTGTATTGTGTGCCATGTGCTGACAACTACCATGAACACTGTATTGTGTGCCATGTGCGGACAACTACCATGAACACTGTGTTGTGTGCCATGTGCTGACAACTACCATGAACACTGTATTGTGTGCCATGTGCGGACAACTACCATGAACACTGTATTGTGTGCCATGTGCAGACAACTACCATGAACACTGTATTGTGTGCCATGTGCTGACAACTACCATGAACACTGTGTTGTGTGCCATGTGCTGACAACTACCATGAACACTGTATTGTGTGCCATGTGCTGACAACTACCATGAACACTGTGTTGTGTGCCATGTGCTGACAACTATCATATATTGCTGATAATTGTTTATGGTTTTAGTTGTATGCACTAAGAGCATGCCCGTGCAGCATTGAGTTCAGCATATATAAGTGGACGTATTAAATGTACACACCTTGAGTTGAACTTGTGAACGCCTAATGTAGGTATATTCTTAAAACCACTTAGTGACGCCCCCGTATATTGTGTGAGAATTGAGAGCTCCCACCATTAACTACGTTTAGACGAGGATTAGAGGGCGAGGTAGGGTTGGGGTTATGAACAGGGCGAGACAGATTGCACAAATTTAAATTCCTACCTACATAAAAGAAATAAATGCCAACTGGGTAAATGCACTCACTACATTTTGCTGATAGTTTTGATTCACCATAGTCCATAGTTTCAATATTTGAGGAATCACTTGAGATTTATCAACACCATGTGAATGTTGGCGTCCCTGCTCCCGAACTTCAGCTGGCTGGAGGTGCAGTCTGTCAAGATCTTGCCATTAGTCTTACGTGGCCAAAACACCACCCCCAGTCAGGTTTGCCCGAAGAAGGTGCATCTGGTCTAGGGCTTTGGTCAGGAACTGGCGACCAGTGTTAATCTCCATTAATGTCAAAAAGTTCAACTGAAAAATATACAAGTTAGTCATATAATATATTCTTTGACCAAGATTAGCGATTCTTGCAAATGGCATAAACTGTAATATCCTTCCCTTATCACTCACATTCCATAGCTATATTGTGTCCAACACAACTGCCTCTCACCCTTCAATAGACCACATAACTATACACGGTAGAGCACCACTGCCTCTTACCCTTCATTAGACCATGTAACTATACACGGTAGAGCACCACTGCCTCTAACCCTTCATAAGACCACGTAACTATACACTGTAGAGCAACACTGCCTCTAACCCTTCATTAGACCATGTAACTATACACGGTAGAGCAACACTGCCTCTAACCCTTCATAAGACCACATAACTATACACTGTAGAGCACCACTGCCTCTAACGCTTCATTAGACCATGTAACTATACACGGTAGAGCAACACTGCCTCTAACCCTTCATAAGACCACATAACTATACACTGTAGAGCACCACTGCCTCTAACCCTTCATTAGACCACATAACTATACACTGTAGAGCACCACTGCCTCTAACGCTTCATTAGACCATGTAACTATACACGGTAGAGCAACACTGCCTCTAACCCTTCATAAGACCACATAACTATACCCTGTAGAGCACCACTGCCTCTAACGCTTCATTAGACCATGTAACTATACACGGTAGAGCAACACTGCCTCTAACCCTTCATTAGACCACATAACTATACACTGTAGAGCACCACTGCCTCTAACCCTTCATTAGACCACATAACTATACACTGTAGAGCACCACTGCCTCTAACCCTTCATTAGACCACATAACTATACCCTGTAGAGCACCACTGCCTCTAACGCTTCATTAGACCATGTAACTATACACGGAAGAGCAACACTGCCTCTAACCCTTCATTAGACCACATAACTATACACTGTAGAGCACCACTGCCTCTAACCCTTCATTAGACCACATAACTATACACTGTAGAGCAACAGTGCCTCTAACCCTTCATAAGACCACATAACTATACACTGTAGAGCACCACTGCCTCTAACCCTTCATTAGACCACATAACTATACCCTGTAGAGCACCACTGCCTCTAACGCTTCATTAGACCATGTAACTATACACGGAAGAGCAACACTGCCTCTAACCCTTCATTAGACCACATAACTATACACTGTAGAGCACCACTGCCTCTAACCCTTCATTAGACCACATAACTATACACGGTAGAGCACCACTGCCTCTAACCCTTCATTAGACCACGTAACTATACACGGTAGAGCACAACTGCCTCTTACCCTTCAATAGACCACATAACTATACACTGTAGAGCACCACTGCCTCTAACGCTTCATTAGACCACGTAACTATACACGGTAGAGCACAACTGCCTCTTACCCTTCAATAGACCACATAACTATACACTGTAGAGCACAACTGCCTCTAACCCTTCAATAGACCACATAACTATACACGGTAGAGCACAACTGCCTCTTACCCTTCAATAAACCACATAACTATACACGGTAGAGCACCACTGCCTCTTACCCTTTATTAGGCCACATAACTATACACTGTACGTAGAGCACCACTGCCTCTTACCCTTCATAAGACCACGTAACTATACACGGTAGAGCACCACTGCCTCTTACCCTTCATAAGACCACGTAACTATACACGGTAGAGCACCACTGCCTCTAACCCTTCATAAGACCACGTAACTATACATGGTAGAGCACCACTGCCTCTAACATTTCATTAGACCACATAACTATACACTGTAGAGCACCACTGCCTCTTACCCTTTCATAGACCACATAACTATACACTGTACGTAGAGCACCACTGCCTCTTACCCTTCAATAGACCACAAAGCAATTCTGTAGAGCACCACTGGATGACCAACGGCTTCTGTGAGATCAACCAACTACTGTATGACACAATGCTTCTGTGAGATTCAACCAACTACTATATGACACACTTACTGCTTCTGTGAGATTCAACCAACTACAATATGACACACTTACTGCTTCTGTGAGATTCAACCAATTACTATATGTCACACTTACTGCTTCTGCAAGATTACACACTTACTGCTTCTGTGAGATTCAACCAACTACTATATGACACACTTACTGCTTCTGTAAGATTCAACCAACTACTATATGACACACTTACTGCTTCTGTAAGATTCATCCAACTACTATATGACACACTTACTGCTTCTGTAAGATTCAACCAACTACTATATGACACACTTACTGCTTCTGTAAGATTCAACCAACTACTATATGACACACTTACTGCTTCTGTAAGATTCAACCAACTACTATATGACAAACTTACTGCTTCTGTAAGATTCAACCAACTACTATATGACACACTTACTGCTTCTGTGAGATTCAACCAACTATTATATGACACACTTACTGCTTCTGTGAGATTCAACCAACTACTATATGACACACTTACTGCTTCTGTGAGATTCAACCAACTACTATATGAAATACTTACTGCTTCTGTGAGATTCAACCAACTACTATATGACACACTTACTGCTTCTGTGAGATTCAACCAACTACTATATGACACACACACTTACTGCTTCTGTGAGATTCAACCAACTACTATATGACACACTTACTGCTTCTGTGAGATTCAACCAACTACTATATGACATACTTACTGCTTCTGTGAGATTCAACCAACTACTATATGACATACTTACTGCTTCTGTGAGATTCAACCAACTATTATATGACATACTTACTGCTTCTGTAAGATTCAACCAACTACTATATGACATACTTACTGCTTCTGTGAGATTCAACCAACTACTATATGACATACTTACTGCTTCTGTGAGATTCAACCAACTACTATATGACATACTTACTGCTTCTGTAAGATTCAACCAACTACTATATGACACACTTACTGCTTCTGTAAGATTCAACCAACTACTATATGACACACTTACTGCTTCTGTGAGATTCAACCAACTACTATATGACACACTTACTGCTTCTGTGAGATTCAACGAACTACTACTACACACTTAATGCTTCTGTGAGACACTAACTACTATATATGAGACACACTTACTTCTGTAAGATTCAACGAACTACTATATGACACACTTACTGCTTCTGTGAGATTCAACCAACTACTATATGACACACTTACTGCTTCTGTAAGATTCAACCAACTACTATATGACACACTTACTGCTTCTGTGAGATTCAACCAACTACTATATGACACACTTACTGCTTCTGTAAGATTCAACAAACTACTAAATGTCACACTTAATGCTTCTGTGAGATTCAACGAACTACTATATGACACACTTACTGCTTCTGTAAGATTCAACGAACTACTATATGACACACTTAATGCTTCTGTGAGATTCAACGAACTACTATATGACACACTTACTGCTTCTGTGAGATTCAACCAACTACTATATGACATACTTACTGCTTCTGTGAGATTCAACCAACTACTATATGACACACTTACTGCTTCTGTGAGATTCAACCAACTACTATATGACACACTTACTGCTTCTGTAAGATTCAACAAACTACTAAATGTCACACTTAATGCTTCTGTGAGATTCAACGAACTACTATATGACACACTTACTGCTTCTGTAAGATTCAACGAACTACTATATGACACACTTAATGCTTCTGTGAGATTCAACGAACTACTATATGACACACTTACTGCTTCTGTAAGATTCAACGAACTACTATATGACACACTGCTTCTGTGAGATTCAACCAACTACTATATGACACACTTACTGCTTCTGTAAGATTCAACCAACTACTATATGACACACTTACTGCTTCTGTGAGATTCAACCAACTACTATATGACATACTTACTGCTTCTGTGAGATTCATCCAACTACTATATGACACACTTACTGCTTCTGTGAGATTCAACCAACTATTATATGACACACTTACTGCTTCTTTAAGATTCATCCAACTACTATATGACACACTTACTGCTTCTGTAAGATTCAACCAACTACTATATGACACACTTACTGCTTCTGTAAGATTCAACCAACTACTATGTGACACACTTACTGCTTCTGGAAGATTCAACCAACTACTATATGACACATTTACTGCTTCTGCGAGTTTCAACCAACTACTATATGACATACTTACTGCTTCTGTGAGATTCAACCAACTACTATATGACACACTTACTGCTTCTGTGAGATTCAACCAACTACTATATGACACACTTACTGCTTCTGTGAGATTCAACCAACTACTATATGACACACTTACTGCTTCTGTGAGATTCAACCAACTTCTATATGACATACTGCTTACTGCTTCTGTGAGATTCAACCAACTACTATATGACATACTTACTGCTTCTGTAAGATTCAACCAACTACTATATGACACACTTACTGCTTCTGTGAGATTCAACCAACTACTATATGACATACTTACTGCTTCTGTGGGATTCAACCAACTACTATATGACATACTTACTGCTTCTGTAAGATTCAACCAACTACTATATGACATACTTACTGCTTCTGTAAGATTCAACCAACTACTATATGACACACTTACTGCTTCTGTGAGATTCAACGAACTACTATATGACACACTTAATGCTTCTGTGAGATTCAACGAACTACTATATGACACATTTACTGCTTCTGTGAGATTCAACCAACTTTTATATGACATACTTACTGCTTCTGTGAGATTCAACCAACTACTATATGACATACTTACTGCTTCTGTGAGATTCAACGAACTACTATATGACACACTTAATGCTTCTGTGAGATTCAACGAACTACTATATGACACATTTACTGCTTCTGTGAGATTCAACCAACTTTTATATGACATACTTACTGCTTCTGTGAGATTCAACCAACTTTTATATGACATACTTACTGCTTCTGTGAGATTCAACCAACTACTATATGACACACTTACTGCTTCTGTGAGATTCAA